GGACTGTCTTGGGCGGGGGGAAGGCACCGAGCTGTACTATGAAGCTTTGTCGAGGTCCCTGGGATGATCAAGGTGTGGGCTGAGTGCTATCAGAAATTAGCACTGCAGGGAAATGTGAGACCGTGGATTAAGAATATAGAGGGAGATTCACACTTGCTGAAAATGAAGTTACCTCTTCTGGCAAACAGAGCGCTTGGCGGCAGCCCCTGGTGTGTTGCTGCTGCCTCCTTTCATTCGGCCTCACTGTAGGAGGCTCTGCATCCGCTGGTTGAGTCAAGGCCAGTGGATCTAGGGCTGGAGGGACCTAGCACTGCTTCTAGAACTAAGTGGGAGAAAAAGGTCCCTAGGAACTGAATCAGGACCACAGAGGGAACTCAGATGGGGAATTCTGGGCGCCCAAATTCCCCAAAATGTCATCTGTTTTGACATCCTTGAAAAAGGATGAAGTCATAAAGTTTATGGTAAAATGTAAATGGTTAAGTCGTTTTTAAAACACTCCTCCAAAGGCAATGGAACTCTAAATTGCTTAGTGCCAACCAAAGCTCTGAGTATGGACTGTGGGGCTTGTGGCTTCATTGGGACACACAAGAGCTCTTGGTCCCGGGCTCAATACACACATCGGTGTGTCTTCTGCCTCTCACAGGCTTCGGGAGCACTCAGCCCACACCTTGATCATCCCAGGGAGCCCGACAAAGCTTCATAGTACATCTCGGTGCCCACGGAGCTTGCATTTCCTTTTAGAATCCAGCCACGGCCTGGGCCAGCTTCTGATCTGGATCTGATCACCCCTCAGTCCTAGAAATGGCCCCACTGTTCCTAGACCACAGTGACCCTCTGGTGGGATATTTCAGAAGCAACTATTCCTTTCTTCCTACTGAGTAATTTAATGGCATAAACTCTACATGAGGGGGGCTCAGGCCTCCAGCCTTGATGACGTCCTTGTTTGCCACCCACGACTCCTCATGGTAGAGGGGGCATGATTAAATTGTGGAATGCTTTAGCAAGACAGAAGCTAAACATAAAGCACACATTTCTACACAGAGGAATTCCAGTTCAGTTTGTACCTATGTTATCTGCCCAATAAACATTTGCGTCACTATCCTAAGAAATAAATTCATCCCTAATATTTTCGATTAGTGCCAAATTTATCTAAGCACCACATGTGCACACACATATATAGATACAGATAACATACACAGAAGCAATTTAATAACTGCTATTAGTTAGATAAAGGACTCAACAATTTAGTGCATTTGTACTCTTAATTGAAATGAATAAGACTCCAATCACAGAGGACTCTCAAATAAGGGGTTTGCTCTTATTTCTCCTCCCACTTTCTTATAGTTCTCATGTTTTTTTGTTTTTGTTGTTGTTGTTGTTTTTTCTCTGTAGAAATAGCAATTTACATTGAAAATAGGTGTTTCTTGTTTGGTTTATTTTGCAAATCCACACAAGTAAATTTGGTAGGTCATCAGAATATAGTGTTAGAACATTGTGGAGTATGATATAAGAGACTTGGTTCCAAAAAGAGAAATATATAAATGTGAGTGTACATGTGTGTGGTGTTTTAAGGGGAGGGAAAAGAAAAATATTTATCTTCCAATGTATAATAGTGTGTTCAGAAATTTTTGTTTTTATGAAAGTTCATAATGTTCAGTCGTTTCAGAAGTTTTGAACTATTGTCACATCTGCTCCCAAGGAGGCAAACGTTTATAGAAAGTGGGAATAATTATGTTTGTGGCCGTCAGTCAGCACCTGGGTTAGACTTTACAGGTAAGCTTATCACCCTAGGCTTCCTTCACCGTGTTTGAGCTTCAACATTGCTCAGTATTGTCACCGCAGTAATGCAGCTGACATTCTCAAAGACCCAGTGTGCGATTACAGACCTGCTGTTTTGATGACATTCTCAATGACTTCCATTGGGACTTGCTT